AGTTTTAAACACATCTCAAGTCCATGTGCTGTTGATATCAGATTATTTTATTTAAAGTCTGAAGTCACTATTGTATAAGATATTTACTGGATTTATCCAATTATAACAGGAGACGGAAAGACAACACAGCAATTAGTACAAAGAGCAGTGACAGTTTTTGTTCAGCAAATCAAAAAAGTTAAATTTGTGAAAATGCTGATATATAAATTAAAATAAATGATGAACAAATAAATAAATAGTTTTTTTGTTTTTTTTAACTTTTAAATATGCATATTTTGCTCTGTAAAATACCAAAATCCAACACAAATGTAAGCAAAAATCAAAGTTTCCTTTGTTTTCATAAGCACAGACTGTGCTTCGGGTGTAAAGCTTTCCTGGTCTATAAGATATGAAAGATATTTTAAATCCAACTTAGTTTTTAAAGAGTTCAAACCGCCTAGATTCAAATCCCTTTTCCTATCTTATAAGGGCGTTTATCGAGTGAGTACTCCACAGCTTTGCTTTTATTTACTATCTTTAGCAGAATAGATTTCCCTCCTTCCTGCAGCCTTTTCTGTATTCATTTTTTTGGCTTTATGCTTCCCCTCCTCTCCTAAGGTATATTAAATGCAAACGCTAAAAAATTATGTCAAAATTATGGCAAACCATGATATTTTCAATGCACATATAATACATTTTGTAATCATGTCAGAGCCAAAACTGTTAATGTTTCTTTGTTTTTTTAGGGGGTCAGCATGTTTTATGTTTTAAAATAAAATGTGTGTGTGTGGGGGGGGGACCACCCACTTTTTTATTTGATAGGGGGTGGGTCAACTGAGATTTACAGTTGGCAAAATGGAATCTGCCGGACCCCCCCCCCCAGGCCGAAGTAACTGACCAATCCCTAATTATTCGTGTCTTGTTCGTGTACATTTGCATGGCATTCCTGTGTTAAGCGAGTTTGTGGTAGTTGTTTCAGGCGAAATATGTGATTTTAAAAGTGATTAAACATGGTTTGGATCATAACACTCAATCACAGTCCCGGTGTTGAGTGACTGTGACTCAATGTTTGGTCGGCTCGCGTTGTATCAAGGAAGTGACGTCATACACATAGCTGGCTTTGCTTGTTTATATTTGTAGCCCCAATTTGCTTCAAACTTTGTCGATTTTAGAGGGATATTGAGTGCACTCCGCCATTTATAATTGGATTAGTAACAGGAAGTGACAAAATCTACATTATGAACCGCTATATTTAGAGAGGGTCAGTAAGACATTTTCGAACTCTCGGACTACTGTCGCCATCTTGTTTCTGTTATTGGCGTGTGTCGACATACTGGGTCCGTCTCTCGGTCTGTCTCGTTGAAGTGGTTCAGTAAATATTCATTGTTTTTGCCCTTCCCCAATTAAGGACTCAATGGATAGAAACAAAAGACCGTCGTTTCTTTTTTGGCGAGTCATTGGTGGGAACAAAAGACCGTCATTTCCCCTTTGGCTAGTCATTGTCCTCGACGTAACGTGACATCGACCTAATTTACGTTTGAAAGATTTCGTCTGCGTTGTGCCATACTGTATATCAGTGCCACATATCCTGAGAGTTAATTTTTTTCGCTTATTTTTACATCTAGAAGAATCGTCGCCTGTATTTTAATGAAGGTAAGTATTATGTGACTTTTTCAATATTCCATTTCTGTTACATATAACTGTGTTCGTGAAATGCGTATCGATCGTCATACCAGTCTCCCTGACAACTCAATGATTCGCTGAATGTACAGTAATACATGTCTGAATGACCGTCTCAGTACATGTGTAAATGCCGGATTTTTGTGATACGCTCTTATTTGCTATCGTTATGATAGTTATTAATTCGGATACTGTAGTGATTTGTTATTTTTTAAGCAGTAGATTTGAAAATAGTTTTGTATTTGGGAATAGTTTAGTACTTGAAATTTAATGTCTACATGTGACTGTCAACCAAAGTCATCACATTGTGGATTACTCAAATGCAAGGATCTCAGCATATATACATCATTTATGCCACAAAGCTGTCTTTCCAATTTTTTTGTGAATTAAGTCAAGAATGCAAATTTATATACTTATCGAATGATTCACACACTAGTATCTTATACATGTACTGTAAAATACTGTATTTTCACTTGGAATTCATTTTTGCTATTTTTGCTGAAGGAGTGATTTCGTGAAAATAAAATCCATTGAGTATACCTTTTTTTCCTGTATTGTACATTCAACCAACCGGTATCAGTGAGAAAAAAAATCCATAAAAAACACCCAAAAAGACTTTCAGTGAAAATTACAGTTTATTTTACGGTAATTGATTTTGCATGTTTCATTATAATGTTGTTGATAGTTCTATTTAGCGACCATACTGCCATATAACTTTTATATGGTGTTGTGTCCATGAATAATTATTGTAAAATTGTGATATTGATTGATGTCAACATTGTAATAATATTATTTACTTTTCTTTCTAGAATTGTGTCTGATAGTCTACATTCCCTGTATAGTAGGCTGAAATTTTCAAAAGTCATTGTTGGTAGTAGTGATGTCAGTCATGTGACCTGTTCTACACAAGACACTTCAGATATTGTGCTGGCATTGTATCTCAAGTGGAAGACCCTTGAAGAAGGGCTCAGGTTTTGACTGTGGGGTCCACCAACACCATTGAGTGTCAGTATATTCACTTACTGAATATGTCAATTCCCGGTAATTCGTTCAAACTGAATGAAGAGTCTCATCGCCTTGGCACACTTTTAAGACGGAAAAGACAAGTTGTTAAAAAAACACTGTCACAGATAAAAAATACAAAGAGGAAAGAAGAAACGCAGGAAAAGCAATGGAAATTGCACATTTTTAGTAATGACATTCTTGACATCACCAATATTGCTGATGAGCTACAAATGTGCAAGAACAACTGCACAAACACTCATGCAGCCCTTGATGGTGTTAGCAGCCAATTAGACAAAGAAAGGTCAATAAACAAAGAACTTCGACATTATATTGAGACACTGGAAGGAAATGCGCAGTGTGTTGGAAGGAAAATAACACATGTCAAAGACAAACAGAGGAAGAGAAAACTAAAAGTACTTGAAAGTAAAGCAGAAATTGCCTTATGGTTTACCAGAAGCTTTGGCCTGACTGTAAACACACTCAGCGCAACAGATGAGGATAAAGGTGAAATTATTTTCAACTTTTCAAATAACATCATTACAGACAGTAAGTCTCAACTGCCTTGCAATGAGAAAGAGATGCCTGATGTTTCCCCTGATGTAAGAATAGGCACACTTCCAGAGAATGAACAGTACGAGATATACGAGTTGCAACATCTGCTTGACAGATTTAGTATATCGAATGAAGCGTACCATGAACTGACGATGACAGTAAGTGGAAAAAACCTTCCAAGAAGCTACCTGGTAAAACAATGTAGAAAAAACCTCAATGAAGTTTGCCACCTAGAGCCTTACCTGAAGGTTATGGAGCACAAAGATCATTTAAACACATGCTCAGGAGAGAGATTGAGAAACTCTTGGAAGAAAATATGGACTTAGTAAATGATGAAATAAAGGTAGGTATTTTTTTGTAAAGTAGAGGAGGTTTTTTGTTTTGAGGGAAAAAAATGGAAATATCATGTGATAAATATATTATTACCGCATACATTTGCACAAACTATATAGTTTGTTTCATTGTCAAAAAAGGTTAATATTTTAATAATTCTATATGAGGTATGATGGACATGATGCGGTAGTGCCAGGCTATTTGTAATCTGAGGAAAAACTGCCTAGTTACCTGGGACTGTCATCTTCTTGTGTTAATTTTATTTCATTTTTTTTATAGGTTAAAATCAGTGGAGATGGTGCCCAAATGTCACGAAGTGCAAACTATAATTTCCTATCATTTTCCATATTGAATAGAGGGAACATAGTAAAGAGTGCACAAGGTATGCATTAGATTCATACCGGTATTGTTTAGTATAAGACAGCATTGTGCAAACACCATTGAAAATCACTGAATCACCTCACAATGTTATTATATACATCATAACATGTATACCAAAAAAAAAATATAAAGACATGTGAAATTGCTTAAGATTATGCATTTTGATAAATATTGTTGGCATTATGTTCATAAATATGCTTTCACTGCTGGTATTTTAGATTACTCTAACCAGTATTCTCCAGACATCATGTCAAGCGTCATGGCTAATTTGCATAATAGTGCATCTAATTTCAATAATTTTATTTGCAAAAATCGAACAGAGCTTGACATGTATGAATAATTTATTGGGCTTAAAAGAAAAACGTGTCAAATTTAGTTATAGCCATAACTATTTGGTGGCCAGTCGATGAACAATTCAAAGTCCTTCAAGGCTGAAAATCATCGAGGCTACTCTGGTTTACTTTATTTCACAACTTGCAGAGAAAACTGATTCGCGTGAGCTCTAATGTATCTTAGCCTAGTATTTTCTTTTTGAACTAAGGTCAAATTCCATCAGTTTGTCAAAATATATGTTTTTCAGCGAATAATTTTGAAGCCTGTCACAGCACAAACAACTATGTGAATCGACGCCGGTGATTGGATTGTACGACGACCCTTCAATTAGCGTCAAATATGCTTTGTTACAACATCATTGATTGGCTGAGAGTCACCTGATCGGAGCACGAACTGGGTCACAGAACCATATTTGTCCGCATTATCAACAGGACTTTGCAAAATAACCACACCCACATTTTCAATCTTTTTTAGCGCGGAAGTTGCCAACAAATGTAAAAAAAATCGTGAATTTCATGGATTCGAATAAAATAAAGCAAGCGATTGATAAGGATGATTATTAATATTTTCCCCGATGC